CCCCAAAACCCCAAAACCCCAAAACCCCAAAACCCCTCGCAAACACACAGCGATTGAATTGGCAAATTATTATGATCAGATCTTACTCAAATTGGCCTTCCTCTGGATTTAGTAGACTGAAATCTGCCCCATTGACGAAAGGGTTTCTTCTTGTCGAGTTTGCTCCATTAGCTCTGATATCCAACAATTCCTCAGCATGATCTTCTGGGTTGGCTAGAGCAGATCCTTCTAAAGTAAATCCATAATTTTGAGCTAAAATAAGTTAATTTAAGTGCTTAGAAGAAATTAAAAGCCTCCTTGGCCTGAATTGTACAGCTTATATCAGGAACAAATGTCTTTAGAATGAATAGTAATAAAGCCTAATTTTCCATCAAATTCCTACCTTCATTATTGTCACTAAGCAGTCTCTCGCTATGCTCTTGAGATGGAAGAAATGGACTGATACTACCAAGACTCGCATTGAGAGATTGGTTGATAGAAGATCTATCATCATCAGAGATATCACAGTTGCTCTGGGTTTTGAAGTTGAATGCAACTGAAGTTACAAACTCATTGGAATGCTCCTTCGCGAACTCTTTGAATTTAGGATCATCATAGCTCCCAGGAAGTGTTGCCTTCTTGATTTTGAACCCTCTGGCTTTCTCCATTGCATATCTCTTGAGCCTCTCTGCAGCAGAAACATTTTTGTGATTGCTTCTGTTATCATAGAGATATGACTCCATCATCTGCTGGGTTGTCAAACCCTCCTTGGAGGTCTCTCTTAGAGGATACCCATGTACTTTTCCTTTGCTATTTGAAGTGATGCTGTGCAAAGTAATTGAAATCATTTCCACTGTGGGTTTGGTAGTCTCCTTTTCCTCTGTATTGGTCATGCAAGTTTTGGTCAAAGAGGACGGTTGGGATAGCCTTTTCATACCTAGCATCCGAAAGCATTCCTTCGTCAACTCTCATGATATCATCATCAGTATCCTGACATTCAGCCACGATGAAGTCCTCTCTCACTGTTTCATTTATTACCTTCCCTCTCTGGGGGTAGACAGTAAAGGCAGATTTCTGCTGTGAGTTGCAGTCAAGACTCGAAGAGCTTATATATAATCAGGATCAACTCTTCTCCTCTTGGTTCCTGGTCTTGATGCTGCAAACTCACTTGTACTAGAGTCCATACTCATGTTTGAATCAATAGAATCAAGGATGGAATATATGTGCATCCCCTTACAGATATCGAAGTTGACCTTCTTGTGAGGGGCTCTCTTTGAAGTATCTCTCTCCCTCAGAGATCTTGGATCCTTCCTGTCTCTAAAGTTCATCTATTTGTATATTAAAACTACTCAAAAGGCTTTGGGAAAATTTGACCTGCTCAGTACTTACTTTTAAGGCAATTATTACAACTTTTAATTGAGTTTAGCCTTTAAACTGGGGTTTTGGGGTTTTGGGGTTTTGGGGTTTTGGGG